CACATATCCACACCTGGATAACAGTATTATTTTAGACTTAGAGAAGAATCAAAAGGCCAAATTTTACTCAAGCTATTGGCATTAATTAAATTTGCTCAAACTACCCTCAGTAACATAATACATGGTAATAATTTCTTTGACATTCTATTTTATATAAAAGAAAGAGGTGTGTGATTTTGCTGTTTTGTAATTGTACAACATACTTCTACAGTTAGTAGTAGTAGTGTTTTTATTTATGTCCGGAAAAAAAAATCGCGTGCCGTGTCATGCATTTTCTGCATCTTGACAATACACAACAGCTTTGGGGCATGGCTTTAAGTCAATTTATAGCAGCCTTACATGATGATTAAGCCACATAATCTGATTTTGTTAGCTTTAGAATGGAGAAAAAACCTGAGTTAAACTGATCCCAGTGCTGTTCATGAGACAGAACAGACAGTGTTCAGCATACCAATCAGGGGATTTCAGATCACATGTCTGGAGTTAAAAGTAAGTGAGCCATTCTGCTTGTGGAGAGGAATTAATAATTTATGCTTTTTTCCCTTAAAATAATGCAGATTTTTTAGAAAAGTGTAGAAAATTCTAAAGTACTATCACTTTACCATTTACTATTTGTTTTCTACAATGTGTCCTTACTTATGAGATTCTCAAGCTTAACTCCATAATGACTATTAACTATTCTTGTTTACTTGCAGTTTACTATTATCAGCTATTAACTGCATGACTGTAACTGCAGATGTAAGGGAAATAAAGTATTAAAGTATAAAGTAAATACAGTACTAAGTAATAAAGTGTTTAATCCACCAACTATTATTACCAATTATCTGACTAATCTATTGATTAAGTTCCTGTTTCATTAACAAATCAATTAAATAATGGCACAAGAAATCTGAATTTGAAATATGAAATTGCTTTTGTTTATATGCATGTTTACATTTATTTCTTGGTAAAAATTCTAGTACTGCCATAATTTTGGAATCCCTAAACCAATAAATGTCACATTGCAATAGGCCCACTGTTGAGTCAAAAGTATGACTGAATAAAATAAATTACAGTTTAAAAAGAAAGCTTTTTAATTGTTTATTAAGTATACAAATAGTTAAATAGTTAAAATTTAAAACTTTGTATTATTTCACTATCATTTTCTTGTTTTTTTTTATTTTTCACCTTATTTATCTTATCAATTTCCTGTTTTCTCAATTCTAGAACACTATTAATTTTTCGATTTTTATCACCCTTTATATGATTATATGAGTAGAACATGTCTTAATTCCTGGGTAACATATGATGCATCATCGGATGCAATTCTGCAGTTTTTTATGTTTACTAACATGAAAGACTGGCACGTTTGTGATTTTATGACTGTATATTTTACAGATTTTTAAGCGTTGATGTTCGCAACTTCATCTTCCCAAAAACACCCTAAAACAGATTTAACATTGTCCCATGCACTACTTTTATCCTCTCCAGAATGTTTGTTTCTACATGCTGTTTTCCTACATGAGGCCTAACATTAATTTAACTGGGCTAAAATAAAGTACTTCCAGTTAATTACAAAAACTTTCTCTCTATTAATGGGAGCAGAAAATGTGTTGGAACTCATTCCAACTCATTTATACGTTGTTATTCTGCTGTGAAACATCTCCCTTTGCCGCAGCCATAGTTCCAAGTTCAGTCTGTGCCCCAGAAGACTTCTTCTTATGGTGCAATGTAACTACAAAGCCATATGTGTTTATATATGGCTTTAAATAGTATATTTAAATCTGTTGGAATTAACGCACATATGAACATTATAATGCACTTTTTTAAAGTAAACAATGCGTCAACAATAAAAACTCCACATCGACAAACTCTGTCAACTAATGACTACAGCCCTAAAGTCATTCCTACTGATTAGAAATATTTGAGATACTGGGCAATCCCCTAATCTGACACAGAAAACAGACAGTGTGTGCATGAAAACGAACGCCCCCCCTCCCCTTATGTTATCTGTAAGCATTATGTTTCAGATGCAAACAATGTGTATATGTTAGCATGTTGCCTTGAACATTTTTATCATAATGTTCAGTCTTCTGGCACTGGGGCAACATAAACAATACAGTTCAAACTACTGAACTGAAACACTGAGAAAACTCCTTCCTTTGGAATTTCTTCAGTATGCAAGGAAAAGTTAATGAAATTTAAGTTATTGCAAGAAATGATCTGCTGAGTCCTGCCTGATCCCATTGTAAGAAAAGAAAATCTGGTCCCAGACCAGCAACAGGGCCGCTTCCAAACATCATGAACAGCCTCCTATGAAACCTGTCCAAGTTCCAGGATGTAAATGAATCCTCCATAGTGCTCCTACAGAGGCACAAAGGCAGGCTTTTGTCGGAGGGAGAGGACAAGAAAGAAGACAAGAGCTTTTCTTCATGTTCGTAGAAGCAACCAACCAACGGGGGGGATGAGGGCTGCCAGAAACATCAGAAACTAGCCTGAACAATAACAAATGTGTGGGCTGAACTAGTTGGGCTGTAGTGGAAATGTCCCAAAATATCCATGGCTTACTAAACCTAATATATAAACTGGCCATGTTGGTGCTAGAAATATTGAATGACAGCAACGTCTTTGGTTTACTGAGTTTTTTCTAACCAAATATAGCTGTTTATTATTTTAAAAGTTATACTTTTCAGTTCTGAAATGTGTGTATTTAAAACATATGATGTCTAGGCCTAAAGAAAAAAAGCAAACCTACAAACTCTTATCAAAACCGTATATACACTAACACCTTTATTCAGCAAGCACCACTGTGGCAATCAGCAGGAATGCCGCTACTAGAATAAGTTCTAAAATCAGATCACTTTAGCATTATTAAAGCACATTAATAGTCCTCACTACTTGCCTGACAAGATATCCCTACAAACTCCTCTGCAAGAAGCTACCACAGCATTATTCAGAAACATTACAAGAGAGGAAGTCAATTTGAGCTCCTCTCAAATTGGGAAACAAAACCAACTCAAAACTGCTTCTTCCATTTTAAGCAGATTTACTACTTCATTTGTGGTAGCTTATAATAGAGAATGATTGATAACAGCAAACAAGCATCCGGATCAAAGATAACAATCAGGAAGCAATCCATCTAAAGACAAAAGGTCAATGTCCCCTCTGTACACAAGCTTTAGACCACAGAGATCCAGTGGCGAAAAGCCAGCACATTGTTGCTCTTAAGCTTGCTGTAATCTTCTACCACACAATAACAATTTCCGACAGAAAATCACTCACGTGTAAAAAATAGATGTGGGAACGAGAAACTACATAGTGTACAGTACTGTACAATCATTAGAGACCAACCTTCATTCATTTAATTTTAGTTAAAACAGCTATTAAGTACAAAGTATTCAATTTTCAAATGACACTGAAGCCTCAACAACTAAGTACAACATATATATATATATATATATATATATATTTATTTATATATTTTATATCATGTGTTCACCTTTTGCCTTGATTACAGCCTCCATTCATTTTCTTTTCACTTTTCACTTGCTTTCAGTTTTTAAAAGAAATCTGCACATGTATTTTTCCACACATCTAAAATTCAGTCGTAGAAGTTGGTTGCATTTTCTGCTTCTTACAATCCAACGAATCCCAAAAACATTCAACAATGTTGAGGTCTGGACTCTAGAGTGGATCTGTCTACAGTTTCGAGAACACCACAGCTTCTTTGTTTAGTTTTCAAATATTCTTTTTTTGTCTACTTCCCTTTTTCAGTAATGACTTCTTGACAGCTACACATCCTTTCAGACTCGTTGGCTTGTCTTCTCACAGTAGAAAGATGCACAGAAACACCTGTGGATTTTTTCAGATCTAAAGCAAGAGTTGAGCTTGACTTTTTCCTGTTTCTTAAAAATGTTTATTTGATGGTGACAGTCATTGTGGTTGGTCTACCAGGTCTTGCACAGTTGTTAGGAGTCTCATTTTCTCTGTCTCTTTTAATAATTTTTGAACTCCAGTTTTAGAAACTCCTGTTTTTTCATTTCTTTCCAGGATTATCTTATATCTAATTTCATCAGAAAGATCTCCTCAAACATCAAAAACCTGTATTAAATGGTGATTTTGCAGAATTCTGTACACCCACTTTGTGTGAACTTATTTTCTGTGGGTCACAAAATCACACCACTCTTTCTGGCAAGGTCTGGTGTACATTAATGTGACTTCCATATAAGGTATTCATTTATTTATTACATTGCGTTATATAGCATTATGTCCATTCTAGGTCCATTCTAAGTCATGTTTTATTTTAACAGGGACACTATGAGGGTGAATGGTTAGCAGAACAGTGGGAATAAGGTAAGCTATGAACCTCCTGCAGAGTGTAACTGCACTTACAGCCTGAGGGAACTTTCCATTAACAGCTGTGCACAGTGAGAGGACAGTGAAAGGGTGCCTGGAATATCCTACAGTGTCATCACAAAGCTGCATCCAGTCTTGTTCTTTTGTAGGCGAATGGGCTGGTTATATGACTTTCAAATACATGACTGACACTTCCTTTGTCTCCCTCTGCCTCCTTCATTTTATTCTTTTCCTCTCTGATTCGCTATCCCACTCTATCCTTTGCCCCCTACAGCCATCATTAAGGACCATTTAAAGCCTCGGTGTCCAAATCGGCAGAAACGCCTCCTAAGTGATCCCCTCAGGTCAAATCTCCCTCACCATTAGATATCTCAGCTGCACATGCACACATCCTTTACTCCATGACTCACGTCAGGCAACCATGGCCTATTTCGAGTGGCTATTACTTACACAGAGGGGCCTTCACTCCTATCTGTCCAAACACGCTCATCCACTGGTTGGGCAGCTCTAGATATCGGTTCTGACGAAGTTGAGTCAGCAGTGGCTTTGGCCTGCAGCTGTATGTGAGTCTGCATGCGCATGTGAGTGTGTGTTTTTAAAAAACTGGTTCTTTGAAGGAGAACCGGTCACTAATGTGAGCTGACGGCTCTTTGGCAAGCACTTACTGAGTGGTTTGAGGATGCTGTTGCTGGCCTCCTCAGTGTTTTCGGCATCCGACCTGTCCGAGGCATTCTCCATCACTTTCTCCTTTCTGTCCTTGTGGCTGGTACGCCGGCGGTGGCGCCTCCGACGCCGGTAGCTCTTGGGCACGTGCACACCGATGTAGATGGTGTGGTGGCCTAAACGCGAGAAGACAATGATTATGAGACAGTTCAGACAATTAAGAGACAGCACAGAATCACAAGGGAGACATTCATTTTAAATGTGAACAGTATCCGCAAGAATGAACACTTTCACATCACACCAGTGGAAATAAAACATAAAGCCATTATTCTGTGTGATATAGATTAGCTTGCTTTGTCTACTAATGTATCTGAAGAGATACAATATTGATACACAGGAAAGAGTATTGGCCTAGGATCAACTTCCCTTGTCCCATACACAAGCACGTCAATTAGACTAATAAAAACAAAAACTGGTCTTTTATCAACATATTCTATTAAGGCTGTATTTGACCCCTGAATTTTAGCTATCAAGACCAGTCAAGGCACCTGGGCTATTGGAACATTAAAAAAGCCTCCTACAGTAAGTCACTTCCACAGCAACTAATTCCAAGAAAGGAAATGTTCTTCAAGACATTGAGGTCAGGAGCTGGGTGTCAATTGTTTCCTTGTGGTCCACTGGGAGAGACATTTGGTGTTCTTACCAAAGTAAGGATGTAAATAAATGCCAACCACTTCCTTAGTACAATTTATACAGGAAATGGCCTCGGCATTCAAGAGGGCAGCCCAAAAAATTGTCTGGTCCTCAAAAGAAGGGTTTGCAGTAGACTGCTAAACCAAATATTTTGTCAGATAGAAATCAGCAGGTAACAGTGAACTTTCAATGTTTAGATCCTTCTCTCTGAGTCACACTCCATCCTTTAAGAATCTCATGTCCACCTGTTTGCAGCCTTTCAAAACACCCTATGGCATGCTCAGTACCCTGTTTTGGCATTTGAATCAAAACAAAACGATGATATGCTATATGACCTCAGAACAAATTAATCTCAGGAAAGCTAAACCAGACAGACTTAGCTAGAAAAATGAGATTACAAAACAAAATATACTCCCTTCAGAGTTTTCTGGATTTTAAATGGAACACAGCAGATTATTTAGTCACAGAAGTAACAAACATCAATAAAGACAGAAAAGACTTATCACACATAAAAGCAAATATCAGGATTAGCAAGGGTTATACACTAATATACCTTTACATCTCTGCAAACATTTCCCTAGTGCTAATTCCTTATGATACGGCAGCTGATATAGAATCCTCTGTTACAGGACAGAGTGGCAAGGCTCTGTAGTATATCTCCATGTCATGCATGTTCTCTGTCTGGCTCTGAGCTTTTCCAGGTGTCATGAGGTAGGAAACCCACCCATGCTCAGACGCATTAGACAATAGTTTGCTAATATTATGCTATACATGTTCTTTGTGTAGACTACAAAATGACTATAAGATTGTCATTTGATGTCCAACTTGGATGTTATTTCAAGCAGTTGCTGTCCACACTAACAGTAACTACAAAAAAACAAAGAGGACCTCTAGCAAGGTGAGCAGAAGTTGCATGACATATGAGGTCCTCATTACTGTTGGCTGTCCCCTCCTAAAATCAGGCAATGCTCCTATTTGCACTTCATTCTTCTCATGCACATGGTCAGTTCGCATTGGAGTTCACATGGTCAGAGAGCCCAGAACCAGTTCATTCTCTAGGCTAAAGCCAGGATGACATCTTTTAAAAGGCTATGGTAATGCAAATTGATAAGGTTCTACAAAGACTATTAAAGAGTTCTCTTCTTAGAAAAAACTGAAACTTGGTGAAAGGATCAACTGAAATTAATTAAAATTACCTTATTACAACTAAACCTAAATTAGTGCTAGCAAAAACTCACAGAATGTTTATCGACTATTTTCAGCATATTCCATTTTAATTAATTTTCTGTCTAAGTTTGCACCACAACACACATTTAAACTGACAAGTCAGGATATAGAATATGACCTGCAGTGATTTGCAGGTTATATCTGAGCATTCACAAACAGTCTCTGTCTAGATCTTGTAAATTCAGACAGGAAAAGAAATTGGATGCTGAAAAATGAAACAGGGCTAGGCGTGGGCATGATCACCAATCTGCAACATGATGGAATGGGAAATGAAAAAGCACCAGAGAATGAGAAAGCAAAAAAGCAAGAAAGAAAGCAAGAAAAAAAGAATGGGAGGAGGGATAAATAACAGTGATGGAGAGAGGGTAAAGTAAGGAAAAGGGAGTAAAAAAGCAACAGAAGGAAAAGGAGAGGTAAGGAGGGTGGAACTGCACATTGCCTGCCCAGCTTTGTACCGGGCTTCCTGTCCTTTTTGGAGGAACCCATTTCTAAAAGCCCATAGAAAGCAGACTGAATTAGAGTGGCACACTGTTTGTCACTGGATAAAGTTCCCTGCGTTTGGCCGAGCCCTGCGGGCTGCCGGAGCACAGCACCTCCAGTTACCCCAGTAACACAGCGGCTGGGACAGCGCGTTCCAGAGGAAAGTTGGGCAACACAGCCACATGCACTCACAGCATGCTAATACAGCCATGAAAGCTTGAAAAAAGGTCACATGCTGGATCACTGTTTATAAATGCTGCTTCATGTTTATTTACTAGGCTATGCCTTTTTTTATATTTAACTATCTTTCTAAAAAGAAACTTAAAAATTACCACCCACAAGAAGTCACTATTTGCTAAAGTGACAATGTAGCTTCATCTATTTAACAGATCTTGCTTTCAGTGCTACATGCTACAACGTCCATAATATAGCTCAAGCGCATGTCGTATTGTTGTGAACATAGCACATCTTGGTGCTAACTTGACGTTAGCTGAGACCTCTTTGGCAGTGACAATGAAATGACTTAGGAGGTAAGTGGAATAGGAAGTGTCCACCATAAGGGATTTAGACCTACAACCTGGGAACACTCAGCTTCACTCTGGTAAGAGGAAGTGAGGGGATTGTGTGAGAGTTCAGTCAGCGGTGAAAGGAAATATTGCAGTCTTTAAAAAGTGCAGTGATCACAAGAAACTTTTACCCATCCCAACAGTTTTTAATTATATTGTTGTCCTAATGACCTTAATGGTTTTAACATACCACCCTCTTTTGTCGGGGATAATGTCGACCACTTAGTGTGTACTGGCAACCATACCTAATTAGGATGTATGTTAAAGGATAAAAGGAATCTTACTGATTGAAACTAATGTAAAAGGTTTTCACATATATGAAGACCAAATACTTAAAAAAAGACTGCAAAATCAATCGTTTAAAATCTGTTCCCAAACAATAAATCAAAGAAGTTTGGTTTTTCTGTAACTTATTAGTTAATCCACTCTGAGAAACAAGTAAAGCATTATGTCTAACGTCATGCTGTGGCAACTTAAAGACCCCAAAAAAGAATTCCAGGACTTTCTTACAGAGGTTTCAATATGATTGCTGTTCAGTTCATGTTCATTAATTATAGGTCTAGACAAGATGGTTCAGGGACGGCCTACAAAAGGCTCAAAAATCCTGTAACCCTTAACACACCTACCCAGACTTGAAAAATGTCCAAGACGGTTGGCCAAGTAGATCAGGAGGCAATTAGCAAAGTAAACACAACGTCATGTGTCCCTACACTACATCTTCATCACATCACCCCAACTAAAAACGAGCCAATGATCAAGTAGCTAACATCTCACACTAATTTTCTTTTAAATCTTTTGTATTGAACTAAAATGTCTAACATTAGAGGGACATAACAGTTGAGCTGTACTAGTACACACCAATTACCCCTAGACAAAGACGAAAATCACAATTTAAAAGAAAGTTAGCTAGCGATCTTACCTTCGACTTCCTCCTCATCACAGACATGCTTGAGAAAAGACGCCCCTCTGTCCAACACCGCCTCATCCTCCATCCTGTAATAGTAGAAGAGAAAAAAAGACTGCTCACATTTCTCTTCTAGAGACAGCGTTGAGCCGTAGCGCCTTGGCTGGTTCACCTGCAATATGTTACTGCTAGGGCTAGCCATGGTCCCAGGTTAGCAGGGATCGCTAACAAGGGAGGAAATTCTAGTTCTGGATCCAGCCCTGGGGTGGTGGTCAGCCAGCAGGGTTAACGGCACACATTCCTATCCCTGACAAAGCTACTGCCCTTGAGGGGGACACAAGGAGCTGGCAGGTAGACGCCGGGCGGGTAATCCAGCCTGCTTGGGAGGGAGAAGGGTGGACGTGGGGGGTGCAGGCTGAGCGTCTCTGCTAGACATTAATTGACTTTGATGGGACAGGATCTGACGACTGCGCAGTCATGCACAGATCCCAGATCAGTTGAAGAGGGTAACGGTGGCTAACGCAACAGGCTCCACATGGCCGGAATATGCGCTAAGCATGCAGTTCACACCCACAGACTGTATATGAGAAACTTCCTCTGGCTGGCCTCAATAAGCACACACGTACCAAACTAACAAGCAGGTGGGGCATCACGTGGCTGCCTTGCAATCATCTGCCCTTTAAGGATTAGGTGAGCTTCTCTTGGGGGTATAATGTAGGAGCTCATAACATGACCAAAATAAACTCATTTCCCTGTATGAGGGTTCCTTATAATGAGATGAGTATAGCAGACATGTCATTTTCTCCAAACAATAACTCTTTCCATTAAGGTGAAGGAGGTTAAACAAATAACAAACTATGGTATCTGATTTTTTAACACTTTTTAAAGTATGTAACACTACGTACCAAGAATTATATGGAGTATAACATTCAAGGAGTTCCTCTGATCATCTGTTGTTTTCCATGTGAAATGTGTTTTTTTTTACCCTTTCAAGCCACTGAAAGCTTTACATTCCTCTGTAATTTAATATCTGCTTATCAACTTCTAATAAATACAGAGTACACTACTAATCTGGGCAATAGGTACAACAGGAATGAGCAATTCAATAAACTTTGATCATATGCCTTCTGGCAAGCTTAAAGTTAAAGGATACTTTAAGCCATGCAAAGAAAAGGAAAAAAACTCTTTTCCTTAAAGACTTTCTTTGGCCCACAGTTGGTTCAGCTAAACACATACCAACAGCTTCTGACAAAAGGCTCTTCTGAGGATATTCACCAATGTCTATTTAAAGTTAACAGTGCAATTTGCATATAAATGTTTTGGCACTAACCCTAAGTTGGGTGCAAAGTGTTTGCGTGATAGGTGGGGGTGAAGCCATTCCCCCTCAAAAGACAAAGCCCAAAGGTTATTGCTTCCTTGCAAGGTGTGACGCACAACTTATGAGTCTGTCTGTCTCTCTCTCTCTTTCTCTCGCTCTCTCTCTATTTGATTCTCAGACCCAGCTTTCTCAGGTGTAAGATACCAGAGGTCCAAAGACCAAACAACATGGTCATGGAAAGTACTTAAGAGACAAAGTCGAGCATGCAGAGAGGAGTTTGCTACCCTTTTTAATGTGATTTGCGACACACTTTCGTGACGTATGTGTGAGCATTTATTGTCGGTTTCATAGATCTGTTCAGAGAAACAGATAAAAGGTGTCCTGTTTTAATACTTATATGGCAGTAACTGCTTCTGTGAAAAGCTAATAATTTACCAATATGAATAACAATAAATAACTGCGCTTTGTTTTTCTTAAAAATAATAATAAAACTACCTACTAACTATCTAATAAAACTTTTCCATCTGCAACTCTTCCCTGCAGCATCTATTGCGAATTGCATGTTTTCAAAAGCATAAATACAAACTAAAGAAATTATCATCAACAGGAAGGATGGAGCTGGTTTGCCTGATAGCAGTGCTTGGGCCCCTGAGACACGCAGTGTCATAACATTATCTCAACCAGATGCAATCAGACAAACTGAAAAAATGCCAAGTCCTACCCTCAATCACAGCAGAACAAATACCAAGCTGCTGAAGCAGGCCAGTCATAAAGATCATATAACCTGCTTTCTACCCTTATCACAAATAAATCTGGAGGCGCCTGGAGTTGAGCTTTTCGATATTTTAGCTGTATAATATATAGTATCAATATATAGTACAAAATATAGGTTAATTCCTTAAGAAAACAGGAAACAATGCTAGTATTTGCTAAATATGACTGAAGAAATGACTGAAGTATGGTTCAGTAATATGTCTTCCTGCAACTGCAATCATTTTGAAGAACTATACAATTCTCTCTCAGAAAAAATTTATGTAGAGCTGTTACCATTTTGTATCAAGCACCATTTGTACATACGTAGTTATATGTATAATGACTCGTGCATCATGTGAAATCCAGTAAAATCAGACATGGGCAATACGATATTTTATTGTTATAAGTTACATCACAATATGTTTTCTCTGAACTTTGTGAATATTGTCATTATTTAAAGAACACTGAAATGTATGTGAAACACTAAAAAAAACATGCTCGTGGTTTCTCAAGGTATTTTTTTCTATTCCAACTTATCAAACCTCAGAAAAAACTAAACATTGCCTGAAAATGTTTTCAAGTATCATGATATATTTTTGCCATGTCACTCACTCCTAAGAGAAGATTCAATTTGTTATACAGAATTTAATGAAACAAGCAGTTCATCATTAATTATTATTAATCACTGTTCAGCCTTTGAGATAATTTGAACATGTCCGTTGCCCTTTACATTATGTGTAAATTTCATGATGAATGGACCAACAACAATGACCCAAAATGACTTGGGAAAAAGTCTGGTTCCATTGACTTACATTAAAAGTAAAGTATGTTTATTCTTTCACCTGTAAAGTTGTCATTTTGGAGATATGAGGTTTTGTTCAGCAGTGAATTGATTTTATTATAGGTTTGGCTGTATGCTCTATGAGAGGATGTTTTCTCTCGTTTCCCTTCAGTGCCTCTTTTTGTTTGTCTTAGGGACAGCAGTATTGCCCTCTTTCCCTTTAAAAAAGAAAGTTGCACATGTGAGGAGAGATACAGCAGCACCAGGAGAGAGAGAGAGAGCAAGAGAGAGCGAGAGAGAGAGAGATGTGCTAAGTGGTCGTTCTCTGGCACGTGACTTCGGGAACTGCAAAGCCTGAGTGAGCACGATGCACACTCACTCCTTCCTGAGTCAGCAGAGCACACTCAGGTGTGGACCGCTATTAATACCAGACCTTCTATTTATATTCAAACAGCAAAATGCAAAATTACTATGTTCTTGGGACAGCTAGCGACCACAATCAGGCTCTCAGTAACACTTTATAAATATGTGCTTTTTGTTAAGGACCCCTGCATCTGTTTTAAGTGACTAAAGAGATGCAGGGGGTACTGTTTAAACTCCCTCTTGGCTTTCTGGGTAGAGATTAGTGATCTGAGTGAACAAGCAGAGGTTTGTTCAACCCCTATCTAGTGCTCTGCCTCCCCAAAACTCCATTGCCACCTATGGAACAAACGCAGACACAACAGGCATTCAGGAGGACTGTGGGCAAAAAAGTTCTGAACTGTGAAGCCCACTGCTTTCCCTGCTACATCCTGACCACCTTAAAAGCAATATTCAGTGAACTTGCTAAATATGTGACATGCACTGGGCCCAAACTGTACAGAAGTCAATCACGCCCATAAAAATTCCTCTCTGGGAACTTTTGTAAAAAGGTTTAACATTTCTGCAAGAGCCTGGACTCACATTAGGTAGACCTGAATGCACAGCTCTAAGGTTGAGCGTTGACTCCATTAAAAATGGACAAACCAGCTCAGTTAATGTACTCAATCCACAAATCATTCATTAATGGCGTCCACCACACTAAAACTGCTGGACATTGCAGACACTGTTAGAAGTGCCTTTTTAAAAGCTAATTCATGTGAATTATTTAGAGTCTTGGGCTGTTTCGAGGTCACTCGCTGAAATCGTATTTGTATTAGCTGCATAAAAGTGTGAACACAGCATGAAAAAGGTGAAAGGTGGTCCAGGCAGTACTGGCTTCAACACCTAAAATGCCTTATATTCCTTTATAATAATCTTAATATTTAGATTTTTGTTCAGATACTGTCGACTCAAACAACACACTTTAAAAAGATGGTTCTTCAAGGGTTCTTTAGTAAAGGCAAAGGTTCTATGCAGAACCATTTCATGTCTAAATGGGTCTTTGCATGGGGAAATAGTTCTTCAGATTGATTGAGAATGTGTTGTATATGGTTCTATACAGAAAATGGTTCTCTGTAGTAACAAAAAAGCTTGACATTGTAACAATAGACGAACTATTACGTGCTATAGAGAACGATTTAAAAAAAAGGTATGTAGAACTATATATTATATATACATATTTTCAGCATGAAAAGAACTATTTAAGCATGAAATAGTTCTACATGAAACTCATGATTCTAAAAAACGTTGCCTTTACTAAAAAAGGACTTTGGAGAACCATCTTTAAGCGTGTAGACTTGTGTTAAACTCCTTTTTGTGTTACAATATTAGCAGAAAGCAGAGAGAAAGTCAAGTTCGATGGTGTAATGCTACAAGATGTAAACTGTATGAATGCTGTGGAAAATGTGCATTGTTCTGTGAGGAGATTTGACAGAGGTTCCCAAATGGTTCTGTATTACTATCCATGTGTAACAGTAACACTGCAGTAAAAAGTAAATCACAGTAATGAAAAAACACACTTTCTCCTCTCAGCCTGAAGCCGCGGTCACTTACTTGTGCTTAGCGCCGCTCATTTCTGATCCTGAGGTCTTCCAGCTAATCTGAAGGAGCTGCTCCAAGACAGTTCAGTCACCTCCGAACACAAAGAGGCACAAATTTTGAAACTTATTCACAGTTCTTCATCTCCATAAACTCATTCAGCAAAAAATATTTAAAAAAGAAAAGAAATTCAACAAAACAGTGTCGAGCGGACTCCGAGTCAGTCTACCAGATTTCTGACACAAACTTCAGCGAATGGAAAAAGAAAGCGAGGCGGGAAAAGGATGAGTTCAGTGAGAAAAGAGAAAAGCCTCAGGAAAAATACCTTGTTCTGTGGGTTTCTTTGGTTGTCCTTTAGTTCGACATGTGAAAATGTGATGTCCAGGAGTAGAAGAGCAAAACAGCTCGAAGCCTCAACGTGTCCGTTTCATATTTTAACAGCCCTCCGTCCGCCAACGTCAGAAGTGGGAGGTCGACAAAGAGTTGGAGGTAGCTTGAGTTTACCTGAACGCCCTGAACAATGAGGGGCCGGTCTGAAAGAAAAAGTGCACTAATTAATGGGGAGGTTTAAAAAGTGTGTAGTCTACTCTGAGAGGCGTGTGTCGCCCTAAACGCGTCACAGGCTTTTATTCCTCACTTCTAAGTTAAGACCCATCTCTGACAGACCCTGAGGTGAGATGTATTTCGTCCTTACTACGATATTTAAGGATAAGTCGTGAATGAATCGTTCTTATGAACCGATTCTTTCCACTAAATCGATCGAGCCAGTTCATTAGTACAACTGAATCGAACCGTTTTGTAGCGTCTTCAGGCTGAATGTTTCTAATAATATTTCAATGTAATTTTCCACAGTTTGATCTCATAAAACTACAAAATGTTACACTGTAACGTATCGAAAACAACGCATTGAATATGTTGAAAGGGAGGATCGATTCAGTGAAGTCGGAAGGAATCGGTTCGACAAACTGAATCATGCACGTTACCAACTCCACCGCCTTTAACGATTCATTTTTAGACGTGAAAAACAGCGACCCCTACTGACGATGTATTAGGTATAACAGGCCGGATGCATGTTTAACTGTGTTCTGTCTACAGGTAATTAAAAAAAAAAAATTCTTCAAATTTGCGCAAATTGTAAATCAGTTTAATATTATGATTAAATGTATGTTATGAATATATTGGAGACGTTCACAAATAATTATATTATGAATTATATTTAAGACCATTATTAGTTTTTTATGAGGCAGTAATTTGTGGATTCAGATATTGTGGCACATCCAGGATAAGATAAAACTATAATAACATAACACACATGTCATAGGCCTTGAGCAAGGATGGGTAGTAAGCTAACTAGTGTTTACATTTATACATTTATACTGTTACACACACCCATCGGTCATTACATTGAAACCATCTCCTTGTTTCTACATTCATTGTCCATTTTATCAGCTCCACTTACCATATAGGTTAATTTTGTAGTTCTACAATTACAGACTGTAGTCCATCTGTTTCTCTGCATCCTTTCTTAGGCCCATTTCATCCTTTTCTTTAATGGTCAAGACCCCAGAGGACCACCACAGAGCACGTATTATTTGGGTGATGGATCATTCTCAGCACTGCAGTGACACTGACGTGGTGGTGACGTGTTAGTGTGTGTTGCACTGGTATGAGTAGATCAGACACAGCAGTGTTACTGGAGTTTTAAAACACTGCATCCACTCACTGTCCACTCTATTAGACACTCCTACCTTGTTGGTCCACCTTGTATATGTAAAGTCAGGACACTGCCCACAGGATAGTGTTGACTGGCTGATTTTTAGTTGGTGGACTATTCTCAGTTCAGCAGTGACACTGAGGTGTTTAAAAAGAGTTTCATCAAGTGTCCCCTACTATCTTTCAGCCCAGAACACCTCAATCTTCCTAATATATCAGCATAGCTGTTATGAGCTACTGTGCCAGATCAAATGACAACAGCTTGAACAGCTGTAGTCCATATTTACAACGGCGTGAGACTAGTCACCACTTGTGACTTCTAATTTAAGACAACATTTTTCAATACAAATTATATTATCAACATAATGATTTGAGTGAAAATTAGAAACTTTGAAACATTCACATAAATTTCAGGATTTCTTAGAGTTTGTCATGTCCTCCTTAGCTTTAATGACAGCATGCATTCAAGCTGGCACGAACTCCACAAGTTTGTTCAGGAGCCTCTGATGAGTAGATCAGATCTGCCTGAGAGTCGTTGGATCACAAGCTTCAGTGGAAGAAATAAGATTTAAAAAATCTGACCTTTTTTGTACAAAGGCCTTAACATGGTCACTATCACAAATGTGCTTAAAATGGAATAGTGGCCTAGAAATAGTGCAAAATCTTGAATATTTGTTCTTCGTTTTACTTCTCATAACTTTTTTGTTGTAATTTTTTCAAAATTCGAAACCTTTGCCGTTTATTTCCAGTTTTAAATGAAAAAAAATCCCAGATTTTCACTGTGGTCTCACACGTTTGGGCTCCACTGTACAAAGAAAGACAAAGTGGACACAGAAACATACACAGTGCCTTTGCGTGCGTGTGTCTTGTTCTAAGCAGGTTCCATGTTCTAATCTAGTACATGGCAAGGTCTAATTCACAGAGGGAGAGTGAGCTGGGCTCTCTGAAGGTCAGCCGTTCGTTAGGCCTGCTCTCCCCCCCCATGGGAACACACACCATATGGCAGCAAGGATGAATCGTGGCTCACAACATCAGCTGTTCACAAACACATGTTCATAAAAGTCACTAAAAAGATTTAACAATTACATTCATCTTTTTATGAGTGCCATTTGGTTTTTGATGTGTGATACAGCAGATAAAACACATTTGATTCATTGCTGGTGTTATTCTGTGTTTTTTTCATCCTGCTTTGGCTTATCTGTATGAAAGAAACTAATCAAATGAGGCGAAACATTTTGTCTGGACATGTTATCAAGCCCACACTGTGTGTGTAATCTTTGCCTCACGTTTGAGAGACGCAGAGAGAACAAACATCAAAAACAAATCATTAGTAGATGAAGGCTGGGATGACCATAAAACGTCACTGCAGTTAATTAGCCTTCTTCTAAGCTCACCTTACTGAGTGCTGCTGAGATTCTGGGATTTGCAGTGAACTCTCAGAGCTCCTCCTTGTTTTTAGACTATTGAATAATTATTGAATTCTTACAATTATTATTGATTATATGATAGAATCAACCATTAACTATTAACCACAGCTAGTAAGTGACAGTATGTAGGTATACAAGCTTTAGTACTGTTAAACTACACTCACAAAAATGGGTTCCTAAAGGGTTAAGGCAAAGGTTATATATAGAACCATGACAACTTACAGAACTATTTGAAAGCATTAACGGTTCTTTTCTGTGATGAAAAACCCATGTATACAGTCATATGCATACGTTTAAATAGCACAGGTCAAATGTCATGTTTTGCTGATTTTTTAAGTGAAAGTAAGTTAACAACTTGGAGCTGTAACATTTCACACGCCATATTTTACGGTTTATTTTTTCCCCATATGTTAAGTTCAGCAAATAAACAGTAATTGTGCATTAAAATATGTGTTCTCTGTAGAGGATGTGTTCAATTATTTTCACTTAGAAAATCAACCAAGCATGTAATTTGACTGGGGTGCCCAATCTTTTGGATACAAAAAGGTTTTTGGATAAAAAAAAAGCTTTAAAATGGTTTTATATGGCACTTGAAAGGATGTCACTATTGTTACAAATCATAGATTCCTTTTTTCATAAGACTAACAAACAACAGTTTATTCATTAATTACATATTTATTTATAAGTAATATAACAAAAGCAACACTTTTATTGTGGGGTTTTTTTGGCATTACTAATATTGTAGCTTTGCCCTGAACTTTTTTGAGGGCTTGTTCTGAATTAGGTAAAATTGTTGCTATGTGTGGCGGAAAGGCAGGAAAGTCTGGTAAACATTAATGTCTCATACATCTTTTAGTCACGGTGGCTTAAGCAAGGCAGAGTTTTCAGGTATTGCTCAAATGAAGCAGGTCACAGGGGTCAGTTAGGCTCACACTTTTGCTGAACAATCACACCGTGTTCTCTGTGACAACTCAAATAATACTGAATGTCGTCCACAGACTGAGCTTTGAGAAGCTACATTATATGGCCAAAAGTATGTGGACACCTGTATGAGCTTCTTGGACACCCCATTAGCAAAACAATGGGCGTTCATATGCAATCGACCCCCTTTTGTAGCTGAAATAGCCTCCACTCCTCTGGGAAGGCTTTTCACAACATTTTGGAGTGTGTCTGTGACAATTGGTGTCCATTCAATCAAAAGAGCATTTGTTAGGTCAGACACTGTCATTGCACGAGAAGGCCTGGCTCACATTTGATGTTACCGTTCATCCCGAGGTGTTCAGGGTTGAGGTCAGGGCTCTGTCCAGGCCACTGGAGTTGCTCCACACCAAACTCATCAAACGATGTCTTTATGGACCTCGCTTTGTGCACAGGGGCACAGTCATGCTGGAACAGGGCCTTTCCCAAACTGTTTCTACAACGTTGGAAGCATATAATTGTCTTAAATGTTTTTGTATGCTGTAGCATTAGCATTACCTTTCACTGGAACTGAGGTGCCGAGTCTAAATCTCAACAAACAGTTCCAGACTATTATCTCTCCTCCAACAAACTTTACTGTTGGCACTACGCATTCCGGTAGGTAGCGTTCTCCAGGCATCCACCAAACTCAGATTCGTCCATCAAACTGCCAGAAGATTAATTCATCACTCCAGAGAACACGTTTCCACCGCTCCAGAGTCCAGTGGCAGTGTGGTTTACACCACTCTAGCCGATGCTTGGCATTGTACATAGTGATATTAGGCTTGCTGCTCAGACATGGAAACCCATTTTGTGAAGCTCCTGGCACACAGTTCTTCTGCTGATGTTGCTTCCAGAGGCAGTTTGGAACTCCATAGTGAGTGATGCAACAGTAGATAGGTGAGCTTTTGTGGTCTATCACTTTGTGGCTGAGCTGTTGTTGCTCCTAGACACTTCCATTATATAACAATGCTACCAACCTTTGACCAGGGCAGATTTATCAGGGTAGAAATTTCACAAACATATTATCCTATGACATTGCAGCATTTAAAGTCATGGGGCTCTTCAGTACAACCCACTTTACTGCCACTGTTTATGTAGGGAGATTACAGGGCTATAAGCTTAATTTTATACACCTGTTAGCAATAGGTAAGGCTAAAACACCTGAACTCAATAATTAGCACAGATATGCAGAGGGAGAGTGAGCTAACTTAGATAAAGTTAGCTAGTTGCTGCATGCAACTAGCAAAGCTGTCCTGGTGAAATTTGCTTAATCCTAGTTTGAAGTAATGCCTAGTTGCAGTTACACTACTGATTTATCTAATATTCACTTAACAGATGAGTGTTGAGAAATTTTTTAAGAA